AGAGAGGGAGAGAGGGAGAGGGAGAGAGGGAGAAGGAGAGAGAGAGGGAGAGAGGGAGAGAGGGAGAGGGAGAGACAGACAGACTGTCAGACAGACAGGACAGAGGAAGGGGTTTGCCAATTTGTCTGGGCAGGGCATTGAACTGGGTGTGTGGGTTCCTGCAGGTACCATCCACAGGTGAGTTTAGGCTTCTGCCAAACTCTAGGCAAGATGGCTTGCAAGGCCAAGGACTGTCCTGGGTACTCCTGGCTGAGTAGGACTATATTAAATGAACTGGAGGTACATGACAACCATGGACTCACCATTGACTGAGCCAAACTCCTTCTCATGAGCACGGGTAAGGATCTCCTTGTACAGGGTCTCTGCATCCTGGTACTTGCCCTGTTTCAGGTAGCAGGAAGCCTGGATGGGAAAGAGTGGGTAAGCAGCCTGCAGGGAGCTTAGCTTTCCTTCTCCTTCCTTCTGAACATCAGCTCTCCCCCTCCCTGCTTCCGTCCTTTCCAGCCTCCCGCCTAGCCTCAGAGCACCAGGTTGTTCTTGGTCTTCGCCACATTGGGGTCATCAGGACCAAGGCGTGTGGCATAGATCTCCAGGGCTCTCCGGTAGTAGTATTCCACCTCCTCGGCTTTGCCCTGGTTCTGGCACAGCAAGGCCAGGTTGCTGAGCTGCTTCGCCACATCTGGATGAAACTTGCCCAGAACCTGGTAAGAGTCAGTGGCTGGGTTAAGAGTTGCCCAGATTCTACTCTGTTTGCTCAGCACTCCTGGCCCTGCCTGCTCCCACCTTTTCCCGGATCTCCAATGCTCTCTTGCACAGTGGCTCAGCCTCTTTGTACTTGCCCCGTTTGCCATACAGAACAGCCAGATTGTTGAGGGTTGCAGCCACCTAGGTGTAGGAGAATGGAGGTGCCTTCACTCAGGGCCCTAACAGGCAGGGGGATCTGGAACTTGTGAGGGTTGGAGAGGAACACTTATAACTCTTACTCACAGCTGGGTGGTCCTTGCCCAGTGTCTTTTCCCGGATAGCCAGGGCATCATTGAGCAGGTGAGCAGCATCCTTGTACTTATTCTGGTCCCTGGGAGCAGGCAGGACATTCAGGAGTGTCCTCCAGCCTGAAGCCTGCCCCCAGGGGCCCGTAGTCCCTGTAGGCACTCCTCCTGGGGTCACTGATGAGTGGACATGATAGGAGTGCAACTCAGAGCATGGGAGGCCTGTGTAGCCCTACCCTTGAGAACTCTGAGGATATTAGGCAGTTTAGCACACCTCACTAAGGACACACCTCATACCTAGACCCCTGAGTAACTCTTTAAGTGATCCCCAGTGCCTTGGCTCACTGTCACTCTCTGCCACAGAAATCCAGTCAGGAGTTCTGGGCCAATTTATCTTCCCACCCCACCTGTCTTCCCTTGTCCTTCCCTCTCTTTCCAGGATTTCATGTAACCTGAGGTAACTTTGAATTAGGTGTAAAACCAATTCCCAATCGTCTTCCTCCTACTTCCAAAGTGCTTCTAAGTATGTACTACCATACCTGGCTCCTAACTCACTTCTCACAGCCCATCCTCAAGCCTGGGTGCCTGAAAAAGCTATGCTGGCTCCCAGTGACCCTAGTGTTTTCATGTGTCACCCTTGCTATTATTCACAACCAAGCTTTTAATTTTTTGTTGGTTCTTTTTCAAGACAGGGTTTCTCTGTGGAGTCCTGGCTGTCCTGGAACTGACTCTGTAGATCAGACTAGCCCCTAACTCAGAGATCCTCTTGTCTCTCTCTGCAAGTACTGATCCTCTGAGTACTGGGATTAAAGGTGTATGCTATCACTGCCTGGCCTAACCTTTTCTTAAAACTCTGACAGGTTTATTTCCAACTGGAGGCCAGCTTTACAGAGGCATGTTCATCTTTCTATGCTGGTCAACTGTCCCTTGAGACACTCATATGGAAGGATGCAGGTGTGCCCACACAGCCGGGGTGCCCTTACCGATAAACCAGTGCCAGGATGTTCAACATGGTGGCCACATCAGGGTGGTCATGGCCTGATGTCTTCTCCAAATCCTCCAGTGCCTGCTTGCAGAGGGGCACGGCCACCTCATAGCGGCCTTGTGAAGCATACTGGATTACTAGGTTGTGGAGGGTACGTAGCCGTGCTGGGATTTCATAGCCCCCGTGGTGTGCAGCTACGTCTCCTCCTCCAGGACTGGGGGCTAAAGGGCCAAGGGTAGGAAGTTAGATGTGCCTTCTCCTTTCTGAGCTAGGCTGCCATATGCCAGCTGTACCTTTTGCTCATGTGTACCTGGGCAAGTCACCAATCTGTCTCAGCTTCTGAACTTACAGAGTAGGTTTAGTTACCGCACAAGGAGTGAGTCCTGTCCTTCTGCACCTACATTTTAAGTGAGACACTGTGGCCCAGCTCAACAAGGCCCTGCATGGTTCTCCTCTAATGACCTAGAAAGTAACTGACTATAGAGCATGTCCAGATCCTCCAGAACTGTTAAGCATGACACTTGCTCTCCATGGAGCTCAGGGAGATGAGATGCAACAGGGAAGACTTGAACTTGCCCTTGAGACAGAGTTTCTCTGTGTAACAGCTCTGGCTGCCCTGGATGGCATCCAACTCACAAAGATCTATCTGCTTGCCTCTGCCTCTCCAATGCTGAGATTAAAGGTATGTGCCACCACTGCCTGGCCAAGACTTGCCTTTTAAACCCTAACATGCTAGGATATTGTGATTGGAAATGAGGCAAAAAAGAGCATGGATCCCACTAATACCCACCTCCTGTGACCTATAGGACCTACAGGACCTATAAAACAACTGTCCCTTCCCTCAACCCAGAGCTAACTACCCTTTTGTACCTGGGCTCTGTTCATCTTCATTGGGAAACAGGTCATCCAGGGAGTCTTTGGGGACATCACCCTTCTCCTCCTGGAAAGGAAGACAGGAATGAATGTCAGACAAGGTACCATAGGTATCACCAGGCATGTGGGAACTGGATGTTGGCCAGCTGGGGCTCACATTTGGAGAAGCATCCTCATCCAGCTTTCGGATCTGACTCATGAACAGCAGGTGTTGCTTCTCTTCCTCCAGCTGAGCCACCGCCTGTTCACTGCGCTGCAGCTTCTGCTGCGTCCCTGCCAGCTCCTCACGCAACCACTGGTTCTCTTGTACCAGGCGCCGCACCTGAGCCCGCAGCTTCTGCTTCTCTGACTCCACAGCCCCCAGATGGCTTGATAATGCCAGAATTACCTGTCAAGCCAGCCAGACCAGGATCAGAACCCTGACCATCACTTTGCCTGTAATTGCAGTCTCAGCCACCTGGGGGCCAGTGAAAGGCCAGGCTCTGGCTTCGTAGTTGTCAGGCCTGAGTTCTTCCATTTCCAGTACCACAGACTACAATCTAGAGCTCAAACCCAAGAGTAGGTTTGGTAATTTTGCAGGCTAAGATCCTGTGGGATCTGAGCTCCCAGACTCTCCCTTTGTTTCCCTTTGGTTACACTCTACCCGCTGTAGCCATAACCAAATAAGTCACTGCTTCCTGCCTAGTTCTAGTGATTGTTCAAAGAACCCTGACAGGTGGTTGAAAGGGCACAAAAAGACCTCATCCTAATCTGCTGAGGGTCCATAGCCCTGTCTGCCTGCTAAAGGGAAGGGAAGCAGCAGTGTTCAAAGTCCCTGACAGGTCTGAGGAGCTAACCACGGGGACAGGCAAGGTATCCACTGGCCTTAGTCTCAACACCCAGATCTTTAAACATCTGATGCCCTTCCTGATTCTCTGAGTGTCTGTCAGTCTTGGAACTTGGTATAGGCTACATGTTCCTATCTATGCTTCATGGACCAGGATCACTGCCTCTTTTCAGCCATGCTTTCCCCATGCTCCATCTCCACTGCCTGGACTCTCGACGATACTCTGTTCTCTATCTGTGAAAGACCTGCATACTAGTGAGGGTAGAACCCTGCATACCATCTCTGTACCTGACAGCTAACGGGCTGAGGAGGTAACACTCTGCCTTCCAGAAGGTTGGAGTCTAGGACCCTGCATTCTCTAATTAGTTACCAAACTTTTTTTTTTTTTTTTTAAGACAAATTTTCTCTGTGTAGCCCTGGCTGTCTTGGAACTTGCTCTGTAGACTAGGTTTGCCTTGAACTTACGAGATCCACCTGTCTTTGCCTCTAGAGTGCTAGGATTAGAAATGTGGAACGTTTCAAGGGATAGGTGTTTTTATAACCACTAAACTTAAAAAAAAAAAAAGGTCCAGATGGCATATGCTTTTAATTCCAGCACTCAGGAGGCAGAGGCAGGTGGATCTCTGTAAATTCCCAGCCAGCTTGAATAGAATAGCCAGGTCTATGTAGAGACCCTGTCTCAAAAACAAAGCAAACAAAGAAAGTCCTCAACCAACCTGGAAGTACATACAATAGATGACATGATCACTATGGGGTGTTTGGGGGGGGGGTAGGGGTTGGTTTGGGTTTTTCTGTGTCCTGGAACTCACTCTGTAGACAAGGCTGGCCTTGAACTTAGAAATCTGCCTGCCTCTGCTTCCCAAGAGCTGAAATTAAAGGCGTATGCCACCACACCTTGTTTACTATTTTAAAGACAAATTAAGACAATACAAAATCCCCTGAATTTCTGGATCCAGGCAGTGGTTGGCCAAGAACCAAGGAAAACAAAACCCTTCTCTATCCAACAGCCCTCTATATGGGGACCTAAATGGCCTTTCATCCCGAAACTTGTTAAAAGCACAGATATCCAGGAGTTGTGCTGCAACTCCCCAACCCCAGGTCCTGTTGAGCCTCCTTCCAGAGTATCCAGAACTGGTGTCTCCATGGCTACCCCTCAAATTCAAACTTCCATTTATTTGAAGCCTAATAGTGGCTTCCTGGTCACTTGTTCCAAGAGTCCATCTTTGACCTACTAAGGTTAACTCTCGCAGCTCACAGGTTTCAGAAGCCAAGTCAGATGACATCTTCTGCTTGTTAGAACTCTCCATAGGCTTCCTGATAGCCTGGACATAGTCTGGCTTCTGCCCCCACAGACCTCTAGTGTCCCTTTCTCCCTTTCGTAAGTTCTAGGTATACCGTTCTTGTTTCATTTCAAGCACATGGCCTTCCCTACCTTGATCTTTACACATGCAGCGCTCCTCTAGTGGCCTCTTCTGGAGGCCAGCCCTTTCTCCCTCTAGCTCCTGATCAACAGATAAGACTCCCTTCTATAAACTACCACAAGATCTTGTCCCTGGAGCACTGATCACAATTTGTTTCAAGTAATCAGTTGAGTGTGTTTGTGTGTTTCTCTTCTCCTACTGTACTAGGGGAAAAAATCATCTTACTTTTTTTTTTTTTTTGGAGGGGGCAGTAAGGTGAGCCAGAATCTTACATGTGATCCAAACTGGCCTGGAGCTTGGAATCCTACTGCCTCCACCTCTCAAGTGCTGAGATCACAGACGCCATGCCCACTGAGGACAGAGATCTTGTCTGCCTTGAACTTTGCAGCCTGGGCATTAACCTACTGTCTAGCACACACTAAGTAAGTGATGAGCTGTAGAACTTAATGAATTAGTGAATTAATTGAATTGTGAAGGGAGGTTACTAAAATATGTCTGTTTTCTTCTGTCATCCAGTCTGTCAGGTAGAATGAGGCCTGAATAGCACTGCTGTGTGAGGTAAGGGTGCCCACTGGGGCAGGGCTGGCATTTCCAACGTGAATTCATTTAACATTACTTATTGTCCTAATGTGACGCTCTAAGAGACAAGTGTGTCCTTGCTGAGGGTGTTCCTATATTACCAGGGCCCTTCCAGTAATCTCCCACCATAGCCCCAACACTGACCTACCTGAGCCTCCCCAAGCCCCAGCTCGATGGCCTCCAGGGAGCGGCGCAGGAGCAGGCAGCGCTCCTGTGAGCCCGGCTCGGCCTCGCCTGCCTCATGAGAAGCTAAGGGAGCTAGCAGGGCACGATGCTCCCCTCGAAGGGTCTCTAAACCCTGGATAACGGCCTTGGTGCCCAGCACTATCTCGTCCTGACTCAGCTTCTCCTCTCGAGGAAGCACCATCGTGGCCATGGTCGTGCCGTCTGTGGAGGCAAGTGGTGGGGCAGGTGGACGCAGGGCCTAGGGCCACACCGCTGTCCACCCCAAGTTAGATAAACACCCGGAGGTCCCCGGACGCCTAGATCCCTAAGGGTGTCCAGATCCCTCAGCCCGCAGTCCTCGCCGTGCCAGCAAGCGGCCTACAGGGGGCGCGCCAGGCTTGTCTAGCCTAGGGAGACGCAATGCGGTGTGGCTCAAGAGAGGCTGGACCCTGATTCTGCCCGAGACCACCGGCTCAGGCCAGTTTCTGTAAAGCCCAGCCTCGGAGGTTTTTCGGAACAGTCCTAATCAGGACACAAAGCACTAGGGCATTGTAAGGCGCTCCCAAGTCAAAGACTACAGGCCCCCCGGGCAACTGGGTCTCAGCCCGGGCGAAAGACCCCCTTCCCCAGGACAACCGGAACCAAGAACCCCTCCCCCAGGGCAGACCAAGCCCAGACACCCCGTCCCCGCCCCCGCCGCTCCGGGGAAGCTGCGGTCTTTAGTTTCGGGACAGGTTTCTGCAGGCCGCGCCCACAACGACCCCTCCCACAGGCTGGCCAAAGGCCCGCAGACCCTCCCTAGAAAAGGCCCAATTCCCAGCCCCAGCCCAGGACCGCGCCCCCTCCCCGCAGGCCGGTCGGGTCCTCCCACAGGCCGCGCCCACGACGACTCCTCCTCTAGGCCAACCTGAACCGCTCCTCACGATCCGGCCTGACTGGGTCTCCCGGCCCAAACAGCCGGCGCCGACCTGCACCTTCTCCTTTGGCCCGACTCTGGCTCTTACTCCTGTCCCGCTTCACCCGGATCCTCGACCGTGAGCTCGTCTCGCTGCCTCCATCCCGCCGGCCTTCCCAGCAGTCCCCGCGCCGCCTTAAAGGTGAAGCCGCTACCTCGGCGGCGTCGGAGGGGGCGAAACACGTTCCAGCCGGCCAGCTCTCTGCCTTAAAGGGGCCCCGCGGGTCTGGCCGGCTTCGGGGTGGGGCCAACCCAGACCGGACGCAGAAGGGGCGTGGTTGGACTCGCCCCCTCGGACCAGAGCTTCCTGGTCTGTGCACTCTGGGGCGCTTAGAGACCGGACCAGCGTGACTGACGATCAAGGAGAAGGCCGACCTCATTAGATTCCAGAGCGAGTCAGTCCACATTGATTGACTGCTATTTGTCAAGCGTTTTTGTTGAAGTCTTAGTGCATTAACTTAATGCTCACAAAGGGCTGTTGAGGTGGGTGCTGCCAATACCCACCTCTCACACTTCTGACCCCCACCACACACACACACACACACACACACACACACACACACACACACACACACCGCGCTCGTTTGTCTCTTTCTGGCTTCGGAGTTGTCCGTGTCTCTATTGGGAATTCTCAGCATCTAGGTTTGCTTTGTGAAGGAACAGAAGGAGGCTTCTGGTTAAAAGGGAGAAGAGGGTGGAAAGGAGCATGTGGAGATCAGTGGGGTAGGGAGAAGACTTATGCCCCTGAGGAAAACATCTGAGTGGATACTACTGACCAGATAATGAGGTCAGATGTGACTTTGGTTTGTGGTGGTGTCATTGGAGGCCTCAGATTTGTCACCAACTCGAAGCAAAGACCTCTGTACTAGCTAGTTTTATGTCAGCTTGACACAAACTAGGGTCATTGGAGAGGTGGGAATCTCAACTGAGAAAATGCCTCCATAAGATCAAGCTGCAGGAAAATCTCTAGAACATTTTCTTAATGAGTGTTGTGGGAGGGCCCAGTGTAGGTGGGGCCAGACAGCAGTTCTGAGCAAGCCCAGAGGAGCAAACCCATAAACAGCACTCCTGCATGGGCTCTGCATCAGCTCCTTTCTCCGGGGTCTGTCCTCTGGGTGCCTGTTCTGATTTCCTTCACTGGATGAAGAGTGCACCAAATAAACCCTTTTGGTCATTGTTTCCACACAGCGACATTAACCCTAACTAGGACCACTTCTTTTGTCCCCAGCCCCCTAGATTCTACGGTACTCTTCCAATCTCTACCCCACACCCACTCGATGCCGACTACATCAGCCTTTCTAACATTTGTCTTGTTTTGCCTTCTAGAATGTAGGTCATCGCCTGCTGGTTGGGACCTTAGGTCTCTCAAGGTAGAGAATATGGTAGCACTCAGTAGATCTCACCTCACAAAAAAGTGGGGGAAGGGGAGGTGAATGCTGGAAGGATAGCTCAGTGGTTGAGAGCATTTGTTTCTCTTGCTGAGGCTTGAGTTTCATTCACAGCACTCATGTGGCTCACAGCCATCCTTACCATCTCCAGGGCATCGATTCTACCTTCTTATTTCAGCAGGTGCTAGGAGCTCATGTGCTACACATGCACACTTGCAGGTGAAACACTCACACACAAAAAATAAATTGGAAAGGAAAAAAAAAGTCAGAGAGATACACTTGCCCTTGACCAGTCCTTCCAGACCTACATTTGGTCTCATTTTCTGTAACAAGGGGCCAGTACCACTCTCACCCAATGTCTTGGTTCACAAGACTAGAAGCTGATGGCAGTGATCACCACCTCCATTCCAGGGACAAAAGCCACACAGTGAGAACTTGTGTAGACATCTCAGGGACCTGGGGTTTATCTTGCATAGAAGCTAGACTCAGGCTCAGAAAACAAGGTTTGGCATTTGCCATCTTTCACAGAGAAATTGGCCTATACTCTTAGCTTAACAGGGAGCTCACTCTTTTCCCCTGGGACACTCTAAATATTAGAAAGTCCCCTCATCTCACCCCTGAGACAGGGTCTCATGTAGCTCAGATTGGCTTCAAATTTGCTATGTAGCTAAAGGTAACCTTGAGTTTCTGTCTGCCATCTCTGATGTGCTAAAATTACTACTATGTCCAACTTTACGACTTGCTGGAGACCAAACCCAAGGTTTCATGCATGCTAGGCAAGCACTCTACAGACTGAGCTACATCCCTTGTTTAAAAGGTTACTTTATTTAAATAATACCAAAGTACCTTCCTCATGAGCTCTAGCTTCTGTCTCCAGCTGTACTCTCTTCTTTATCTAGACTGTCTTCATGTCTTTCACTAAGTGTTATTGCAGTCCTCTGACCCTTCCCCTTCTATCAATCCAGATGCTGCTCCAAACATCATGGCGTCCTAGGGCCCAATGATCCAGAACAAGTGAACTGTATAGTCACCAAGTGATAGGGGCTAGGGATATGTGCACTTGTACCATATCAGTGGAAGCACTTGCCTAGCATATATGAAGACCTGGGTTCAACTCTCCATATAGCAAATAAACAAAAACACCATCTTTTCACTCGTGAAGCCCCAGGTCAGTCTAACTTTGGCAGCTGGTCTAGTAAGTCACGTAATTATCACATTTCTTTAAGAACAGGTTCCCCTTGATCTTTTGCTGCTTCATCAGTGATTTTTATTACATTTCAAAAATTACCTTTCAAGAAGTGGTGGTACACACCTTTCATCCCAGTATGAGAAATTTGGATCTGAGAGTTCAAGGCCAGCCTGGTGTTCTTGTTTTTTTTGTTTGTTTGTTTTTTGTTTGTTTTGTTGTTGTTTTGTTTTTTGTTTTGTTTTGTTTTTTGTTTTTTGTGTTTTTTTGAGACAGGGTTTCTCTGTGTAGCCCTGGCTGTCCTGGAACTCACTCTGTAGACCAGGCTGGCCTTGAACTCAGAAATCTGCCTGCTTCCGCCTCCCAAGTGCTGGGATTAAAGAGGTGTGCCACCACCGCCCGATGGTTGTTCTTGTTTTTTGAGACAGAGTTTCTCTCTGTATGTAGCCCTGGCTGTCTGGCTTTCCTGGAACTCAACTTGTAGACCAGGCTGGCCTCAAACTTACAGAGATCTGCCTGCCTCTGCCTCCCGAAAGTGCTGGGATTACAGACACCCACCTCCACCTGGAAAAGGGAACATTTTATCCTGTTTTTCTCAGGTAGCGAAGGCTCCCCATGAGCAGTTCTTCCTTCTGCATCTCTAGTCCGGATAGTCTGTCACTGAGAGTGTGTGAGAAAGCTAACGTAGAAGCGTGTGAGTGTGTGAGAGTGTGAGAAAGCTAACGTGGAACCGTGTGAGAGTGTGTGAGAAAGCTAACATGGAAGCGTGGCATGCCGTTGCTGATGTAGTGGCACACATGTGCATACCCTCAATTTACCTGTGGCAGGGTCCCCAGACATAGAGATGCCTGCTGTCTCTCTGTATTTTCTCTATGCTTTTGTAGGTATAAGTACTCATCCACCACCTCTTTTCCTTCTGCTTTTCTCTTTACTTAACAAAGGGACTCATTCCTTTTAATCACCTTGTCCTAGGTAAGTAAGGGACAATGTACACTCTTGCTTGCTTTGTGGCTTTCGTTGGCTCTAGCAGAGGCTGCTGTGTAGGCTTTACTGGTTTCGTTTGTGCTTTTCTTTGGCAGCTGACCCTGCCTCTCTGTGCTGGACCTTTTTCTTTTCTTTTTTTTTTTTTTTGACAACTGTTTCTTTATCTTCTTTTCCCGTGCTTAATCTTGTCTGTGTTCAACCTTTTCAGCCACTTCTCTTATTATCTGGTCTCTGAGGATTACACTGTACTCCCTGAGGGGACAGATTGTTGCTCTGTCCTGCTCTGCCCTGTGTCCCTCCGTTTCCAGCTGCTAATTTCCTGCCAAGCTTCTGCTGATATTTAGTAAATGGAGAAGAAAGGAATTAGTTCAGAGGTTCAGCTTCGGTTTTTTCTGTGATGCTCAACAGGACACCCACTCACTTCCAAGCCTGTGGAAGTCGTTATTGCTACTTAAAAAAATTAATGTATGGGTGTTTTGCCTGCATGTATATCTATAAATCATGTGTACAGAGCACCCAAAGGGGCCAAGAGTGGGTGATGGGTCTTCTGGAACTGGAATTACAGACAGTGGTGAGCTGCCATGTGGGTGCTGGGAACCGATCCTCTAGAAGAGCAGCCAGTGCTCCCCAGCCCCAACTATTTCTTCATATTATTGTGTTTTCTTTGAAAATCACTCCACTGCTCCTCCCCCATCCCACTGAAGTATGCTTTGTCACAGTCTTCTTTTTCCTTTGGCAACTTTCTTCTTTTCCTTTGCCACTTGTAATTTCTGTGGATTCACCCATACATGCTCAAGATTGGCAATTCCTTAAAAAAATGTGTCTCCCCTTAAATGTACATTTCTAATGGTCAGCTTTTTCTACAACTGAGTCAGGTTAAAGTCTACCCAGAGCTCTCAGGAGAGGCCTCCAGTTCCTCTCCTGGCAGCCACAAATTTGCTTCGACCCTCTCTGCGAATTCCCAGTCAGTCTGGAAGGGCTTCTGCTTTGCTCAAGATTGGAACACAAGGGGCTGGAGAGATGGTTCAGCAGTTAAGAGGACTGGAAAGCTCTTGCAGAGAATCCAGGTTTGGTTCCCAGCACCCACCAGGCAGTTCATAATGCTCTGTAACTCCAGTTACAGAGAATGTCCTCTTCTGGCCTCTGAACACACTGCACGCACATGGTACACAGATGGTGCAGGCTGAGCACCCGTGCAGACGAATAACAAAATTAGAGGGAACACAGGTCACACTAAATCACATCTCTGCTGGTCGGCAGTGGTTTCTGATGCTTTGCTGTCTCTACCCAGTCCTTCATCCGATGACTTCCTAACACCTGCTTTGTTGGCTCCTGGGAACCACTGAGGGAAGCAGCAGAGAGCATTCACAGTCAGCCTTTTACAGAACACTCATTGTTCCCACTTTCATTGTTATCAACACAGACAAGCTTATGATGTGACAGACCTTGTGCTCTAGGGAGGGAGGCATGGAGAAAAAATGTAACATATAGGACAGTCTTTGTTTAGTGTTGGAGAAGAAACACGGGAATGAAGATTGGTGGCAAATAGAAAGGTAAGCCCAAACAGAAGCAAGTTCTGCCAAGGTTGTTACTGACAGGAGCCTGTGTGATCAGGATGTAGGGATGTGTGTCCCTCCTCCCATCT